GGGGCCTCAGACGTTGACACTGTGACAAACCCCAGATCCACCTTGGTAACAGAGGGGAGTGAGGACTGGGAGGCTCCACTGTGCCATGGCCGTCCCCATGTGACGGGGACCGTCCTGATTTTACAGGAACCGCCTGGACTGTCACAGGCTTTTATTCTGGGCTTGCTGAGCTGGGGCCATGGTGGACGTCCTGCCTCCAGGAGCCTCTCCCAGGACAGTTGTTTTCATTGCTCCTGGGTCCCCTGGAGGCCCTCACAGCGGAGGCCCGAGGGAGGGCTGAGGCCCCGAGACCCATGCCCCAGTGAGAGCACCCATGCCCCAGTGAGAGCACCCTGGTCCAGGGTTTAGGCTCAAGGCCTGTGACTCAGCAAGGGGCCTGGTTTTGGTTACTAGTTCATGGAACTGATCGCAAACAAGGGAGCCAAATACCATTAAGGTCCTTGCAGGCTGTTGGACCGAGAGGCTCAGTTCCTTGCTGGCTGTTGGCCAGAGGCTGTCCTCAGCTCACAGACCCGCGGGTTGAGGGGAGATGCGCAGGGTGTTCTCCCCACCCTCCTGGCCATGCCCCCCGCTCCAGGGCTGGCGTGTGACTGGGGCCTGACCAGTGGGTGCAATCACTGGGGCTTTTGTTCAAATCCTCAGAGAGGGGACCCCCTCTTTCTGCTGGGATCGCTGAATTCATCAGCTGTAAGCCAGGAGCCGGCCATGTCGGAAACGACCTCTCTGGAGCGGATGGACACGGCCCACGCATTGGCTTGGGGAAGACACGCCGTGCCCGTGTCAGAGGTCACCGACGGTGTGTTAAATAGGTACGTGTGACTGTGCGTCAATCAGACCGCAGTTAAACCAATTAGAAAGGCTCTCGGAGAACATCTGCCCGCGGGCAGGCCTCCGAGTTGCCAGGAAACTCCGGCTGGCATTCCGACGCGCTGAAGCAGTTTTCCATGAGCCTCAGCTCCGTGAACTGTGCCCTGTTGTTTCCTCCAAGCCCCTGCTGGCGGCTCTCCAGCCCCCTCTGGCTTAAAATAGGCTGTTTTGCTCTTGCTCCCAGTTGTCCTGATCCGGGAGGATCTCGCCTGTGTTTGCACAGCGTGGGCCTCGTCAGCGTGTGCTGAGGGCGCGGCTGCCTCCTCGGACCTGGCTTCACCTCGGGCGTCGGGAGGCTGGGCCAGAAACGCGCCGTCCCTCCGTCCTGCCTCTGCCGGAGCCCGGGGTCCCTGGGAGGGAGGGATCCTCTCGGCTGAGGGCTGTGACCCAAGCTGTGCTTATGCCAGAAGATCTGGGGTTTTAAAATTCTGGCAAACACTAGGAAACCCGAGTTATCGCAAAACCAGGGCGGACGCGGGATTGGAGAAAGCGGGCGGCCTGCTCCCTCTCCCCGGGTAGGAGGCAGGAAGGGGCCCGGCTTTCGGGCTTTGTACTCGCTGGGCCCCCTGCCGAACACGTGTCCGCCTCCCACCCCCACGTCGATTCAAATGCCCACAGCCTGACACGGGGCTGTCCCTTTGGTCTCAGCTGAGTGTGGAATCCAGCAAGGACGTCCGGGGTGTCCTTGGGCTGTGATAGGCATGTCCCCGAACCCCAGCTCCCCATGCGTGCTTTGCTGGTGGGAAACACACAGGTCAGGGGCCTGAGCTTCCAGGGAAGCGAGGTGGTCCCTGCCCGAGCCTGTGGCCGGTGACTGGGGCTCCAGCCAGGGCCGGGCACCTGCCGGGACTGACCTTGGGAGAGGAGCTCCGTCTGCGAGCCCGGCTCCCACTGTGGGCGCTCACAGCTGCTGAAGATGAAATGAGATGTGTGGGCGGAGCTCTTAGCACAGGGCCCACTGCACACAGTAGGCCCTTCCCTGATGAATGGCAGTCACTGCCTTAATCACCTGTGCCAGGGATGGGCTGCTCCCGGGCATGTCCCTCCTTCCGTGGCCACCGCCCCATCCCCTTCGCCTCCCTCCCCTTCACCTGCCCGATGCCTGACCGCAGTATTGAGGACACCAAGGCACAGCAAGACCGAGGTCCCGCGACTGGTAGGTGGTGCACCCCCTTTCCGAGGCTTGCTTTGGACCCGCCCGCCCATCCCCTGCATTGTCTGACAGAGTGGGTGGGCTTCTGGCCCGTTCATTTTCGCAGAGAGGGTGGCGATCTGGACTATGAGAAAGGGCAGAGCTCCGTCCCTCCCCGGCCCACCCTGCGTGTCCCAAGGGGGTAGAAAGCCGGGCTTGGTGACAACCGGGGGAGCCGGGCAAGGGCACTGGCCTTCTTTCTTTGTCCTTAGTACAAACAGTGGTACCCACTGCCCGAAACTCAGTTCTGCGGACCAGCGGTTGTCAGGGCAGATGGCTAGACGGCTGGCTCAACAGTCTCGGGGTGAAAATCCATGACGCTCGGGGCCTGAGCCTCTGGCCTGCACTAGACACCCAGAGGGCAGGCTGGTGGGGGGCGCTGGGGCCCAGCTGTGCTGCCTTATGGGTGGGGCGGGAGGACAGCCCATCGCCTGTCCCTGCCTGGCTCCGTGGGGCGCTTGAATAGTTAAACACTGGGGGAGCGGGGAGGGAAGTGGAGGCTGCTCGTGGTCATCCGCGGGCCTCCCTCCACTAGCCCAGAGGTGAGGTGGTCCAGGGCGTGGGCGGGAGGTGCAGAGATCCTCCTGGGACCGTGGGTGGCCGGGGGAGAGGAGGGCTTGCTCCCTAGACAGGCTGTAGTGATCTAGTGATTGGCACACGGGAAGTGTCCCCCGGCTGGGAGGGGCCCAGATCCTGGCGTTCACCCCTCACCCTCCCCAGCCTGGCACCTGTAAGGACGGACTCATGTTCATACCCAGGCCCAGCCCTTTGCTCACCACCAGGCCTCGATAGTGGGTGAGGGATGCCCAGCCACCCACCCACTGGGCGTGGGCTCTGAGCCTCGGCAGCGAGGCCACTTCAAGCTCCTGGTTGGGGAGGGAGCTCCCCACAAGGGCTCTGGGCTGGAAGCCTGGGGTGGGTGTCCCCCAGGAAGAGGCAAACTCCGGGCACTGAAAACCCGGGCCCCCAAGTGCCCCCTCAGCCAGCTTCAGGCCTGGGAGGCGTTGTGCCATGAGGAATGATCAGGGAAGCTTCTGGGTCCTGGTTGGCCCCCTCACGTATGTCCTAGGACCCTGCCTGGCTTCTCTGAGTCCCCAGACATGACAGACGTGGTGGACCAACTCTGCTCCCCTGGAATTCTCTGGGTGGCCTGGGGAGGTGACCCCAGCTGCTGGGAGAAGGGCGGGTGGGCACCTGACCTCCATCAGCTGAAGCTCTGAAACCACAGGGGGGCCCCCTCTCTCCCCAGATCAGTGGCCTTGCTGGCAGGGACTGTTGGGCATGGCTGGGACTGTTGGAAATGAGAGCTTGGGAGCAATGGCCTGGGGTGGCCAAGAGAGTGGCCCTCAGGGACGTGCACGTGGGGATCAGCTTGCAGCCCCTGCGCTGGGGCCACCAGGGTAGGATGCCAGCCGGGGGTGGGAGGTGCCCTCCCTTGATGGGCAGTCCACTCAGCTAACCACCCCTCCTGCTCAGGGCCTGGACACGGCCCTTGGGCCCCCTCCTGGCTCTGAGGAAGAGGGGCCTGCTCCTGACCTGGCCTCTGGTGCCCCTGCCCTGCTCTCTCTTTGGGCCCATGAAGTGGCAGGGTCCCCAGAGCTTCCACAAAGGAGCTGGGGGCCGTGCTGGACCCCAGGAGCCCAGGGTGGGGCTGACCTGAGGCAGGGGGCAGGCAGGGCCCTTTCCTGCCGTCTCCTGGGAGGGGCCCCGGCTTCTGTGGTGAGGTAGGGAGGTGACCGCACAAGGGCAGCCCTGCCTCAGGGCGTTTGGACAGGGCGGGGTGGGAGAGGGTGCAGCCCCACCCCAGGGGGCCTCCGTGTGGACATCTGTGCCCCTCACAGGCAGAGCCCGGGCAGCCAGCACAGGGCCTGGCGCCAGGTAGACGTGATGATAACCGAGGTCCCCGGGGGAGCACGGCACCTGGGTGGTGAGAGAGGGCACCCGGGGCATGGCGCGTGTCGCCGAGGACCAAAGCTCACCTCGAGAGGGAGCATGTCGGGGGGGGCACAGACCATCGGAGGGGAGGGGGACCAGCCCGGAGAGGAAACAGCTGCGGGCGGAGCAGGTGGCGGTGGGGGAGGGGTGCATGGAAAGGCCGCTGCCCGGGAACCTTAGCGGGGGAACAAGACCACGGGCAGGACCGAGGCAGTAAGATATAAAACCTTTATTGACGTACGTTTATTTCATAAAACTTCCTTTGGCTATACGGGGTCCCTGTGCTTGGAGGTGGGCTCGGTGGCCAGGTAGAGCCAGTGCCCACTTTCGGGTGGGGCCCGGGCCCCAGAGACAGCCTGGGTGGTCTGCAGGCGCCGGGGTACCGGGAGGACAGCAGCCGAGACACACCCCGTGCTCCGTGCTCCGGGAGGGTGCTGGGGCCCGCTGGCACGGAGCCAGCAAAGAGGGTGACCTACCCCAGCTGCCCGGGGTCCTCCGTCTCCCCCCTGCTCGCTGTGACCAGAAACACACCCATTAAAGTCACCACAGGGTTCATCGAGGGGGCAGGGGCGCCACCTGCAGAAGGACTGAGCCACTAGGCAGGTTACCCCCCACCCTCTCCCGTGTAGCTCCGTTTGTTCGGGTCCACCCCACGGCGGGAGGAAGCCGGTTGTGTCCTTTTCAAGGGGAACTTGTCAAAAGGGGCAGCAGGTGGCCCCTCTCCCCTCCTCTCTGGACCAGCTTGGGGCGAGGAGGGCCCTGCCACCCGGGACGCCTTCTGCGCAGTGGGCCGCGGACGGAGGAGAGTGGCCGGGTGGGGGCGGGCCCGGCGAGGCCACGGGTCTGCTTGGTCCCTCACGGAGCCTCCAGCCCGGTGAGAAGGGGTCCTGGGGGGCGGGAGGCAGGCTTTCCTGTCCTGGGGCACCGGGGCGGCTGCCCAGATCCTGTCCCCGGGAAGGGTCTCTGGGGGTCTGCTCGGCCCGTCTCCCCCGCAGGTGCCCACCCCTCAGGAGGTGTTCCCGGGGGGGCACTGCATCTCCATGGTGACCGTGTTGGGTGTGCCGCCCCCGGCCTCCCCGAGCTCGGCCCCGTCACGCAGGGCCCGCTGGAAGACCACCCTGAGGGGCTCCCACAGCCGCTGCGACTTGTCCCTGCCGGCCAGGAAGTAGACGACGGGCTTGGCGCTGCTGTTGACGCAGATGCACAGGTCGGTGACGTACTCCGGGAAGGGGGCCGGGATCTGGAAGGCCCAGAAGAGGAACCAGTCGATCCCCAGGTAGATGGAGGACACGAGGAAGACCGAGACCACGGCCAGGACGACGTGGTTGAGCTTGGCGGAGCGCTGGCGGCGCCGGGCCCGGCACTCCACGTGCAGGACGAGCGCCAGGCAGGGCAGCACCATGAGCGGGCAGAAGACCAGGAAGAGCAGGACGCCCAGGAAGATGTCCGTGTGCCTGCAGGCCGCCCCGGCCGCCTGGCGGCCCAGGAACGCGCAGAAGTAGTTGTGGATGCCGGTGACCAGGAGCGACAGGGTCCAGAGCAGGGCGCACACCACGGCCGACAGGCGCTTGGGCCGCTGGCGCCAGTACCAGGCGGGGAAGATGACGGAGACGCAGCGCTCGCAGCTGACGGCCGGCAGGAGGCTCACGCCCGCCACGAAGGTGCAGAGCCCCAGGACGCGGCCCACGGTGCGCACGTACTCGGCCAAGGCGCCCCGGAAGCCCCCGGTGCTGAGCGCGGACAGCACGGCCTTGCTGGACAGGTAGCCCGCGTCGGCGCCCGCCAGGTGCAGGAAGTACACGGAGAAGGGGCTCCTCCTGATGCAGAAGCCGAAGAACCAGAGCACCAGCCCGTTGCCCGCCAGGCCGCACAGGCAGAGCAGCAGGAAGATGTAGTTCATGACGGGCGGAGGCGGCAGGGGGGCCAGCTGCTGGATGGTCAGGAAGCCGCGGCTGTAGAGCTCCGGGGCCTCGCTCAGGCCGGGGCACATCTGCGCGGCCGAGGGAGGGGACCCGGTGAGGCCGGCGGCGGGCCCGGCCCGGAGCCCCTGCGCCCCTCCCTGCCGACCTGTAGAGCCGCTGGCTCTGGGGCGGCTGCTTGGCTCCAGCTAGAGCGGGCGAGGCCCCTGGTTCCATAGGGCGCCGTCACCCTGTGACCCCGAGCCTGAGCTGGCCACCCACAGGGGTGACAGTGACGTGCCCATCCCTCATCAGGCCCCGGGCCGCCCACCGGTCAGAACAGACACTGGCTGTGCAAGGTAAAGGGGAGCTGGGGAGCCGGGGAGCTCCCCGGGCGGGGGGAGGTGGGAGAGACAGGGCCAGGGAACGCAGTGCTGGGTCGGGGGACTGTGAGAGGGTGGAACCTGCTGCCGGGGCTGGTACTGGGCGGCTACGGGAGGAGAGGGCGCACTGCGCGCACGATGGTATCCTATCGATGCGAGTGGACGGTGCTACGAATGGGGATGTCCTTGTTCATCGAAGGTGCGGACGACATCCGCTCTGCTCGGGGCAGGGCAGCTCCGGGTCTGCAATTTACTTGCAAGTAGTTGTGGGGGGGAAAGTGTAGCAAGGGATAGAGAGAGATACAAACACAGAGACACGCATACAGAGAGAGACACAGAGAGAGAGACACACACACACACATAGAGAGACACAGAGAGACACACACACACACATAGAGAGACACAGAGAGACACACACACACACACAGACACAGGGAGAGAGAGCAAGTGGCCCTGTGGAGAGAGACTAACAGTGAACCACTGGGGGGGGTGTGTGTGTGCCAGGCACTGTGCTATTCTCCCAGGTTTCCTGTACATTTGCAATATTTCACACTAAAGTGTGAAGATATTTATTAAAAAAATAAAACCATGCCCAGCTGGCGTGGCTCAGGGGTTGAGTGTCGACCTATGAACCAAGAGGTGACTGATTCCTGGGCAGGCCACATGCCCAGGATGCAGGCTCCATCTCCAGTAGGGGGCGTGCAGGAGGCAGCTGATCAATGTTTCTCTCTCTCCCTCTCCCTTCCTGTCTCTGAAATCAATAAAAACATTTAAAAAAAATAAAAAATAAAAGAAAACCAGGTGCAAGTTACAAAAAGCAAAGAGTGGGCCTGGCTCACAGTGGGATCAGAGAGGCCTGGGGAGTTGGGGTGGCCCCTGCTGGGCCAGGGAGCCCTCTGGGATCTAGATGGTGGGGGATCTAGTCCAGGGGTCCCTGGGGAGGGGGAGGGGCTGAGGCAGTGGCTATTTATCTGGCTCTACAAATATTTAATATTTTAACAGCTGATCCGACTGCTCATGTGTATACAGCAAATGCCAGTCTGGCCCGTAGGGTCTGGGCTGAGATATAAATGCGTGGAGGTGGGCCAGGTGCAGGAAACGGAAGACCCAGGGGGCAGGGTGCAGAGGCAGGCTGGAGAGAACCCTTTCCAAGTAAGTGGGCAGCCCCCCACTCCAGCTCTGGTCATCTTTCCCCCGCCCCCAGAGGAGCCAGAACTCTAGATTGCAATGTGACTATCCTGATCTTAAAATGTTCATATTTAAAAAACACTGCATGGGCCAAACACAACACATCTGCGCGCTGGATGCAATTCCCGGGCTGCAGATTCTGGTCTTGACCTCTCGCTCCCAGTGCTCTCGCTGCCCAGAGGCTGTCACTTCACTTCCCACACCCGGGCAGGCATCACTAATCCATCTCAGCGCTCTCACCACACCTGGCAGGCATCACTAATCCATCTCAGTGCTCTCACCACACAGCTTGAACCTGGCCTTGGCCCTGGCCCCACATTCCCAGCCTCCTGTCCACTCTAAAGCTGGGTATCAGTCCCCATCGCTCGTGACTCACAAAACAAAACAAAACAAACACGAGGTTCTTGAGGTAGGACAGTTCTGCCACCTTCAGGATGGCTGCCAGCTCTGGCAGAAAGCAGGGTCCTGAAGGCTTGCTCTCTGGGCCTGACGCCCCCTGAGTCAAGGGGAATCTACAAACAGGGACTGGAAGGTGTTAGCCGAACTTTGGGGAGTCTTGATGAGGTCACTTTAAGGGGGTCCTGTCACCACTCATCCTCCTCTAGGTACATTTATTGGCTCAGCATCTCTGTCTGTCAACCCCCAAGTCCCTTAGTCACCCTGTTTTTTTGGTTAATCCTTGCCCGAGGATGTTTCCCATTGATTTTTAGAGAGAGTGGAAGGGAGGGAGGGAGGGGAAGAGAGAGAAAAACATTGATATGAGAGAGACATCGATTGATTGACTCCTGCACGTGCCCCAGCCAGGCCGGGGGATCAAACCTGCAATCCAGGTAAGTGCCCTTGACTGGGAATCGAACCTGCGACCCTTCAGTGAGTGGGCCAAAGCTCTAACCACTTAGCCACACTGGCCAGGGCTTAGCTTGATCTTTCTCAGCCATTCCTGCTGGTAGTGTCGACCACGCCAAGCCACAGAGTAGCCTCTCACCAGCCTCCTTTCAGCTGGGGCACCAGACCTAGTGATTCCTGAGACCAGGCCCTAAACAAGCCCGCGGAGGACCAGCTCGGACGCTGGGAGGGGACTGGCTGCAGGGCTGGATCCGACGGGCAGATCACTCAGTGCCTCTGCAGCTGGAAAAAGCCTGCAATCTGGTCCTGGAGTCAGAGCGGGAGGCCGGGTGAGTCACTGGGTGTGGAGCTGCCCTCCCCAGACACATGCCGCCTGGAAAATGCCTGCTCCGGAGCCTGGCCCCCTCCTCGGCTCTGCCTTCTCTCAGGGGGCTCTGGAGACTCCCCCCAGCCAGTCTCTGCCCCTGTGGCTGCCACTGCACAGTGGTCACTCTCAGAGGAGGGAAATGCCAGGGACTGGAGGTCAGGGCCCTGGGCAGGAGTCCCGGCTCTGCCCCTGGGCTCACGCCCGCCAAGCCACTACCCTAGCGGGAGCCTCGGGCTCCTCAAACATTGGAAGGCGGCACCAGGTAAACGCGGAGTTTCTTCCACCGTGAGAGTGTTTTGCCTGATTCAGGATGGAATTTGAGTGTTCAAGGGCCTCTGGGGAGAAGGGGTCCTGGGGGTGGAGGTGGGGGTTGTCAGTCTTAGCCACGGCTGGTGTCTGAAGACAGGAGGTAAATGTGACTAAGACCCTGGCCTTGGGCCACACTGGCAGGGTGACTCGGAGCAGGCAACGCTCCATGGAGCACATGGCATCAGGGCTACCTTGGAGCTGGCCTTTCAGGGTGGCCGTGGAAAATAGCCGACCACCCCATCTCTGCAGGGAAGGATAGAGGAGGCCTCTGGGTTGGTAATCTATGCCCCCAAGGGATGCACAGGTATCCAGTCCTCTGTGCTTGCCTCATTGATGAGGACACTGGGGATCCGAGGGACCCAGCAACCAGTGCCGGCCATAGAGCCCGAGGGGCCCTGCTGCCCACCTGTTGGTCCTGACCGGGAGGATGGGACCAGTGGAGGAGAGTGGGGAGAGGTGGGGAGATGCTGGGCTGGGTCTGCCCCCTCCACCGCACCTGTCCCACCCGCCCGGGGCCACGGAGCGCCCCTGCCGTGGGCTGCCTCTGGCACTTGCCTTGTTCCTGTTGGTGGGATGGGCCTCCCAGGAGCAGTTTGCAGCCATCTCCGGGCCTGAGGAGTCCAGATCCCTCACAGCTCTGCTCGCAGCTCACTGGCTGGCACACCCCACCTGCGAAGGCAGAAAGGGCCACATCAGGGCAGCAGTGTTCTCCCCTCCCCAGACCCCTGTCCCCAGGCTCCTAGGGCTCTTACCTTACAGGAAAGGCTGACCAGCAATTACCCGGCTACCTGAGAGGTAGGGCCATGTGGGAGGCACAGGGATCATTCTGCTGAGTCCAGAGCCCGTCACTTCCTGCCTGGGTCCCTCACACACCCTACTGACACGCTGGTGAGACCTCCCTGGGAGCCACACAAACTTGCTGGGTACCTCCTTTGTGCTCAGCCCATGGTGGGACACGGGTTCTCTGCAGTCAGTCCCAGAAGGCAGGGAGGCTTCCTGGAGGAGGAGGCCTTTGGCTGGGCCTTGTGTTTGTAACATGCTAAGGTGTCTGGCCTTTCCCCTACAGGTGCCCTGAAGGCAGGACAGCTCGGTCATCATCAGCATCATTGTCACCACCATCAATCCCCACGTCAATGACTGCCAGCTGGACGCTGAGCACAGGGCCAGCTGGCCCACACCTGTCATCCTGTTCGGTCCTTGTGATCAGCTATGAGGCAGGTATGGTCATTCCCCTTTGAGTGGGGCACCAAGGCTCAGGGAGGTGAGGTCACCTGTCCAGGGGCACACACCAAGGCCCACGCTGTGGTTTTGCAGGTTTGCGTATGGTCAGGACTCCAGCGGGTGTGAAGGCAGGAGCAGTTGGAGGGAGCAAGCCAGGAGGTCTCTGCCAGGGCCAAGGCTCCAGGCTGGTAGAGGGGCAGCTGGACTCAGCCGGGAGGCTTGGGAGGGGCGACAGTCCCAGGAGGGGGCTTCTCTGCCAGGGACTGGTCCACCCTGGCTGGGCAGAGCTCATTGGTCTGCCTGCACTGGGTCCCCCAGCCTGAGCTCTGCTTCCACAGCCAAGCACCTACCCCTCCTACTGTGCAAGTGGGGAAACTGAGGCTGTGTGCAGAGGAGGGGTCTTGCAGGGGCACAGCCCGGGGAAGGCTAGGCCCCTCCTCAGCTGCAGGGAGCGCTGGGCAGCGTGCACAGCTCCACTCCCCCGGAATTCCTTCCTCCAGGCCAGGCAGCCCCCTCCACCCGCCACCCACGGGGGCGGGGCGGCAGGCCCGCCCATCACTGGCTGGAAAGGGTGGCTGTCGGTGCGGGTTACCTGCCCCACGTTAACCCTTGGTACCCTCCAGCCAAAGGCACCAGTGCAGCCCCCAGAACCTTGCGACCCTGGACAGCGGCCGGTGCAGCATGGGGGCTGTGAGGGTGCCCCAGGGGGGCTACTCGAGGGGGTGGGAGCCCTGTGCGCGGGAATAAGTGAGCGAGTTCACGATGCATGTGCAGTGTGGGTTTGCACAAAGCTGTGCCAGGGAGTGTGCATCTTACCCCTGCTCCCCCCGAAGTCTTGACTCTAGTTGTCTCCATTGCCCCAGGCAGGCCTCACGCTTCTCTGTGCCTACCTGCAACTCCAAACCTACCCACCTCACCCCATCCTTCCCGGCCACAGGTCCACCCCCTGCACTGCGCACTGTCTTTTCAGCGCCCTTCCAGGCAGGCACCACCCCTTAGGGCTGGGCTCTGGGCTGGGACCCCAGGGACATCCTGACCATAGAGAGCCCACCCTTTCCCCAGGCAGGTGAGACCCCCGCTCAGCTACACAGGTGCCCCAAGGGCAGCTGGCTGGGACCTGCGCATGGTGCCCTGCTTGGGCGGGGCGGTAGTTGGCCCAAGCTCACCTCTGCTGACTGATGAGTGGGTGGGTGGGTGCCCTTGTGTGTCTCTGGGCCCGCAGGGAAAAGCTATTGCACTCTACAGAGAGATCTGGAAGCCAAGTGGACCCCAGATGGGCCATAAAAAGACATGTGTATGGCATATGCGTGGGCCACGTGTGAGTGTGCGCTCCTCAGGTTGGGATGGGGCCGATGGGAGCTAAAGCAGACCCCCCACCCAGAATGCTGCCAGCTCAGCTCATCCCTGACCCTCTCAAAACCCAAAACCCAAGGATGGGCCCCCGATTACCTGTCTGTCTCCTCTGGCCTTAGGAAACCCTCATTTCCTTTCACCCCCACCCCACCGCGACTCAGCCCCAAACCTATGCCAGCCCCCAGGTGAGGCTGTCCTCCAGGAGGCCCAGAGGGGGACCGTCAGACTCCAGTTCTCCAATCTGTCTTCCCAGCCCCTCTCCTGTCCCCAGGCTGCCACCTGGGCTGGACCTGGGAGCCCTGGCAGTCACTCCCCCCAGACACAGAGAGCCTGCGTTTTCTCGCTCCAGCCCCCGCCCCCCAGTCCTCCGCTGACAACTTGTGTTGAAGAGGTTTATCTGGGTGGAGGGATACCTTCCAGGTTTCATGAACAGCCTCGACCCAATGCCAACTCCACACCAGGTGTCTCAGGCCTGGGACAAGGCAGGACACAGCTGTCCAGCCTCCTGTGGCTGCCCAGGCTGGTCCCCCTGTGTCTACCCCAGCACGGCCCCCCGCTGCCTGAGCTCAGCCCGGGAAGGAGGGAGCCCAGTAGTGGGGCGCGGGGTGTGCAGAGTGCGTGAGAGCAGTGGGAGCCATCTCCCCAGCTTGGGATGCTGCCCACTGGGTGTTCCCTCCCCACCCTTCCAGGCTTGGACAGCTGCTGCCGCCGGGGTGGCGGAGGGACTGAGGGGGAGGCCACACCCGCTGGAGGGCAGGATAGGACCTGGAAGCGGAGGGCAGCTTGGGGGTCGGCGGGAACTGCCAGGACTCCAGGGCCTGCTCCACAGAAGGAGGAATCTCCAAGGTCCCCGAGGTCCCTGGGACTCCTGGAGCCTTGAGGGGGCCGTGGGAGGCGCTCAGGTGGTGACAGCCCTCTCTGGGGTCTCGGGGCTCCTGCTTGGGGCTGCGTGGTTGTTGGGAGCTGCCTGCCCTGAAGGTGCCACCTTGTCCTCCCTCCCTGCCTGGCCTTCGCCCCGCAGCCCGGTTCCTGCACCTCCCTCCCCCCGGGCCCTGGGCCCCACGGAGCTACCTGCAGCTGTCCTGGTCCTCCAGGGCACCCCTTGCTGGAGGGCTCCTTCGGTGCCGCCCGGCTCGGGCCGCGGGCCGCGGGGCTGCAGGCCAGCGCAGAGCGGGCTGGAGCCTCGGGAAGCAGGAGCCCGGAGCGGTGGAGAGCCCTCTCCTGCCGCTGGAGATGTCTTTGGAAGCAGAGAAGCAGAACCCGCCCCAAACCCAATTCCAGGCCCGGCGGGAGGGGGAAGGGGAGGAGGAGGGGCTGAGCGGGATGAGGCTTGGGGAAGGAATGCCCTGCTCGGGAGCACCCCCCCACCCAGAGCCCCACTGGGAACTCATCTCTCAGCCTGGTGACGTCAAGTTGGCCCGAGCACTGTGGCCAGAGTCCAGCTGCTAATCTCCCGCGCATCCTGGAGAGAGGGAGCGCCCGCTGTCCACTCGCCTGGTGCCTCCCGTGGGCTCCCACTGGACCTTTGGGGGGGGGGGCTCGGGCCCAG